AAAGGCATCAATTCTCCTTCTATCCTCCTTGGTCATTAGTCTGTCTTAATCTGAATGTTTAGGTTTAGAGGAGTATCTGACAGACAAGCAATTTGTGGAGCAGTGAAAGATAAATCCCTCATTGTGGAGTTAACCATTAGTTACAGTGTTGTCCCTGCCCTTAGCCCAGTGCCTTGACCCACTTATTTCCCAGCTCCACCCTTCACCAGGATACCCCTTCACTTCTACCAAATGCCTTAAATGAGGGGCTTAATAGTACCCACCCTTACAGACTTCGTAAGAATAACATTTGTAAAATGACTGACCTAACACATTTTCTAGCAATACTTTTTTAAGTCTTGGCCATTTCTTCAGCTGAGCCCTGGTGGCATAGTGAATAGGGAATTGTGCTGTGAACCCAAAAGTGGCACCTCTCTGGGATTTGTGTTAGGTCTGTCATTTTACAAATGTTATTCTTACAAGGTCTGTAGGGGTGGGTACTATTAAGGCCCTCTTTTAAAATTTTGTTTCCAATTTTTCTCCTACTATAAAAGCAACTTCATGATTACTGAAGGATTGAAAAATTGTAGAAAAGTGTGGAAATTTTCCCACCACTTATTTACTATATGGCTTAGTGATTAAATGGCTGCTAACTGAAGATCTATAAGTTTAAACTCTCCAACTGTTCTGAAATGGGTTTGACTTGTGTTTACTATATAATCACTCTTAATATTTCTACTTCATTTTGACTAAAAAAGTCTCTTAAAATAATTAAAAATTTCAGTTAATTTTAACTATTTATTTTGAAAATTGTAAAACAGTCATCAAGAAATTAGTATGGAGACACACTACTTTTCAAAGAGCCAATTTATTTCCAGGGGCTTATAAAGACCAAAACTGTCACAGAATACAACCAAAGTTGATAACTTTTTTATTTTATGAAGAGGATCATGCTCTTGGAAATTGTGGCACTTTAAAACTGTCAATTTTTTACATATCTCTCTCATGTCTGGACTTAACTACAGTTCCTTAGAGCTCACAGCCCACCCTTGAGTACCACAGTCACAAACTACAACCACTTGCCAGTAGACAATTATCAGCAGTTTCTGTCAATCTCACTGGAGAAGGCTCAGAAGCCAAGTCTTGTTCAAGACTTGAAGCTCAGTAGGGAAGGGCAGAATTGAGATTCAAACACATCTGTTTGACTCCTACAGGATGCCTGTTAACCTTTTAACTTTGATCAGAGATGACCACATACAAGGCTGCCTTCTATATTAACAGAAAATTTCTCTTAATATCTGAGAACCCACGATGTTAGAAGAAACTAACTGCAGACATCTATGGAGATGATTCCTCAATTCTTGTCTTAGCATTATTCAACTCAGGATATTGGTATCTCCATTAGGAAAAAAAAAATATAAGTACAAATACATGTACACAGAGGCAGAATGCTCTATCCTTATCTTTGTTATTGAGGGCTTTTGCTTTCCTTTTTTTTCTTTTTTAAAGTTTTTATCTTTGGCTCAAAGGCATGTATGATCATTGTCAGGGGTAAGAACAAAGGTATAGCCTAGGTAAGCAGCGGGTGCAGAGGTGATATTAACACCACAGTTCAGCAGCCACTGGGTCTACAGCTGGAGGGTGGGGAAAAAGTCCTCACTTGTCTCTTGGTCCTAAGGTCAGAGATCTCCGCAACCCAAGTGAACCGACAGTCCAGATTTTAGACCCGAATCAAACACACTTCAACCACTGTAAACAGAGTTCCTGCCCTATGGCTGACCCTGCATGACATGCAAACGTGCTATCAGGAAGGATGGACTCCTTTTCAGGTCAACCAGGAGGGCCAAGCAAGTCTAAACCCAGTCCAGCCAGGTCGGAAAGTCTGTGCTCGTACCCTCCTCCAGTCTTGGAGTGGGTTTTCCTCGGTTCAGTCTGTGAACTTTCGAACATCATCGAGACTCAGGCTCAGGGCGCAGGAGGCGGGGGTGGGAAGAGGCGCAACGGAGCGTGGGTTTCACAAAGGGCCAGTGTGCGCACTCTCTACCCAGGACGGTAGCCCGGGACCGGAGACGGCTGTCCCGCGGTTCCTTCCTGCCCGCCCTCCAGCTCTTGGCCCAGGGCCCGGGGTTCCCTGTTGTCCCCCCAACCCCCGCCCCAGGCACTCCCGCGGCACCCACCCGCCGAGGGGCCTCCGCCGCTGGCCTCGGGGCTCCGCCCGGCTTACCTGGCGAGGGCGCCGCGCGGCCACCAAGAAGCAGCAGCAGCGGTAGGAGCAGTAGCAGCGGCGGCGGCCGCCGCATGGCCCCGGGACACTCGGCGCGGCTGCAGCTCAGGGCGCGGCCCAG